ACCTGGGTGTCCTGGTGGATGACAGGTTGGCCATGAGCCAGCAGTGTGCCCTTGTGGCCAAAAAGGCCAGTGGCATCCTGGGGTGCATTAAAAAGAGCATGGCCAGCAGGTTGAGGGAGGTGATCCTCCCCCTCTGTCCTGGTAAGGCCTCATCTGGAGTACTGTGTCCAGTTCTGGGCTCCCCAGTACAAAAAAGACAGGAATCTCTTGGAAAGAGTCCAGCGGAGGGCCACAAAGATGGTGAAGGGCCTGGAGTGTCTCCCCTATGAAGAAAGGCTGAGTGAACCGGGTCTGTTTAGCCTTGAGAAGAGAAGACTGAGAGGGGACCTGATCCAGGTCTATAAATATCTAAGGTGTGGGGGCAGAGAGGTGAGGCCAGACTGTTTTCAGCAGTGTGTGGAGACAGGACAAGGGGAAACGGCCAGAAACTGCAGCATAGGAAGTTCCACACAAACTTCTTTACGGTGAGGGTGATGGAGCACTGGAACAGGCTGCCCAGGGAGGTGGTGGAGTCTCCTTCTCTGGAGATATTCAAGACCCACCTGAACACGTACTTGTGTGACCTGGTGTAGGGAAGCTGCTTTGGCAGGGGGTTGGACTCGATGATCTCTGGAGGTCCCTTCCAACACCTATGATTCTGTGATTCTGTGAATTGCGTGGGTTGGGAAACATGACATGCTGCTAGTGCAGAGAACGGCTGGAGTTTGTGAGTACCCAGTGCATCTAAGATGGGCAAGAACCGTACTTAGGAAAGTCACATTGGCTGTAAGGTGCCTACATACGATGAGGGACAGGAGCGAGAACCTCAGCTTCCAAGCACAGCATGGCTTTGCCCTCCTGATTTATGCTGTGCAATTGCTTCAAACTGGAGATGCTATGTTCCATCTGAGATGGCCAAGAGTATCCCCCAGGAAGGGGTTGAGCAGTGCTTTCCTCAGTGCAGAAGTTTGGAAGACCATTGGGACAGGCTGTTTTGCTGAGGACACATTCCACAGTGCGTAAACTGCTGATAAAGAAAAACCCTAAAAAATTAACACATAACAGTGCGCAGTGCTTTTTGGTGGAACTGAGGCCTAAGAGTACTTGCTGTAACGGCAGCTGTCTGATATTGAAGCTGAATAAATGAATCTCTCTCTCTCTCTGTTTCTCTCTCTCCCTCTCTCTCTCTCTGTTTCTGTTTCTCTCTGGACCTGTGTCTAGAGGTTTTGGACCTACATACCTCTGAGGAGAAAGGTACTGATAGAAGGAGGAGCAGAACCAAGTAATCCAGGTGGACTTGGCTGAGGATGGCTCTTACTTACACTTTTGCCTTCTGTGTATCTTCTGCACTGAAAAATCCAGGTGACATAAGTCACTTTTCTTGGAAGTAGAGTGGGATTTTTGTTGTTTCTTGGAAATATGATCACACATGGCACGCTTGACTTATAGGTAATTTGGTATAATTTAATTTCTACACTCCTGATGTCTGGTGAAGGAATGCTTTACTCACTGTATTGAGCTTCCTGTAATTTCTTGATTGTTTGTAATAGTGGATAGCATTGCTTGAAAGGAAAGGAAGTTACTGTAAGAGTTAGGGTTGACAGATGAAAATGTTCTGTCTGTCCCCATGAGAAGAAATGACTTTGAGAGTTATTGGGGACCATAGCTCTGGGAGAAATATTTCTCAGTGTATACTTATCATCTTGTTCTTTGCCTTCTTGTAGCTATAGTTTCAGCTGTTACCCACAGGCATGCAGATCCAGTGATAAAGGGAGAGTTTTATAAAGCAAAGGCAGTAGGTAGCCATGACAAGTGATATTACAACTCAGGCTCTAACCCTGACCATACAGGCTATTCATCTTCACATAACTTTGCCTGGTTCTATCGTTCATATGTGCTGCTTAGATGAAAACAGTTTTTGTATGTAAGATGACTATATTGTGGTACTCCCTTAGCCAGCCTGGATTCTGAGTGTGGCTGTCCTGTCAGTCAACCAACCATTGACATGCCAAAAATCTAAAATGTTTATGCTTGTGAGAAGAGTTAAATTCCTGCCTAAGTGTTTATGGTACTGTAAGTTTAACACCAGATTTGCACTGATATAGTTCATATAATTGTACTTAAAAATTTCTTAATTATTTTAATAATAAGTGGGTCTAGAATAAGATTAGAGCCACTGCAATTCAAAGCTTTCCATTACAAAAGTAGCTTGATTCCTGCACCTAGCTCTCATTCCTGCCTTTCCCTCTTGGCACTGCAGTTTGCTGTCCTTCAGAGAATTGCCACTGAAAAGTCACTAATCAGTTCTGGCTTTGTCAGTCATTCCTGTTCCTGCAACTGGTTTATTTCTCCCATCTGCTCTCCAGTTTTCACCGAGCATAAACATTTTCACGGCTACCCAATGACTTTTGTTAGGAACTTGTCTAACTAGAAAATACCTTTCTAGCCTCAGGCAATTTTTAGTTTGTTATGCAGCTACGGAAGTGCGTTGGCCAGCCCAGTAAAAGGATAACATGTGGGCAGGAGCAGGCAGCTGAGCATGGAAGAGGTGGTAACAGTCAATACCCTGGTTTCATGAGGAAGCATGATGTCATTTGTGTGGATACAGCTGTCTGTGGACCACACATACTCTAAGTCAGTGAAAAGGTTACGTTACTGCAGGGCTTCTTTTAGCTTGGATTATTTCTGGAGCTGAATTTGCAACTGAAGCTAAAATATAATGACTGCACTCTCAGATGACTTCGTACTGCTTGGACCTATGTGATAATGGGTCATCCAGAAGAAAAGGTGGAGTAGGTCCAGAGGAGGGCCATGAAGATGATCAGAGAGCTGGAGCACCTCCCCTTTGAGGACAGGCTGAGGGAGCTGAGGCTCTTCAGCCTGAAGGAGAGAAGGTTCCAAGGAGACCTTATAGCAGCCTTCCAGGATCTGAAGGGGTCCCACAGGAAAGATGGAGAGGGATTTCTTATAAGGGCAAGTAGCAACAGGAGACAGGAGAAAATGGCTTTAAACTGGAAGAGAGCAGTTTTAGACTAGATATTAGGAACGAATTCTTTACTATGAGAATGGTGAGACACTGGAACAGGTTACCCACAGAGGCTGTGGATGCCCCCTCCATGGAAGCATTCAAGGCCAGGCTGGATGAGGCTGTTAGCAACCTGGTCTAGTGAGGGTGTCCCTGCCTACAGCAGGGGAGTTGGAACTAGATGATCTTGAAGGTCCCTTCCAACCCAAACCATTTCTATGATTCATTCTATGATTCTATGAAAGATTCAGCTCAGATCCGATGTAAGAACATGAGTATTTCTGCCTAATGAAGCATGGTGAAATTTATCCTGGCCCAATGTCTGCGTACCTGCCTTGTTCCAATTGCAAAGTGACAGACAATACGTGATTTGGCAGAAATCTTGGAGAACTTTTCAGACTCTGAAATTATCAAGCCATTTCTTTCAGTGCACACTTCCAAGAGTGCTTGCTGAACTATATTCTACAATGTCAGATGTGAACACAGCATAAAGATTGAGTTCTAAGAAGCAGAGAACTGTGTTGAGATTTCAGTTTTCATATGGTAAGAGCAATGAATGAGAGACAAAAAGGAAGAAACAAATCTTAGTTCTTTGGGAAGAAAGATAATGTAGCTCTTCTGAGAAGTATTTTATTATCTAGGGCGTTGTTAAAAAAGAGAAGTTTTCTAGTTATGCTATCACCTCATTAGTGAAAGAATTCTTGCAAAAATGTCAATGAATTTTTAAAGCACTATGTGGCTACCACTTATTATTCAAACTGATTTCAGGCACCTTATTTGTTTTTTTCTGGAAATGCGAAGGTAGGGGAGGAAATGAAGAACTATTCACCCTGTGGTTCACAAAGGATATTGTATTTCTGAGAACAGATATGTTTTATTTAAAAGTAAAGTGGAGGTAACGTCAAAACTGTGCATGCAAGCAAAGCAAAAGGAAGAATTCCTTCACTGCTTCCCATCAGCAGGCAGATGTGCAGCTGTTTCCAGGAAAACAGGATTTCAGCATAGGTAATGGTTACTTGGAAAGACAAATGCCATCACGCTGAATGTCCTCCTTTCCTCCTTCTTTCACCTCAGATTTTCTTGCAGAGCACATCCTCATCTGGTATGGGATATCTCTTTGATCACCTGTGTTCCACTGTGCTACCCCCTCAGACTTATGTGCCCCCCATGCCCCTCGCTGGGAGGCAGTGTGAGAAGGAGAAACACCTTGACTGTGTGAGCACTGCTCAGCAGCGGCTAGACATCAGTGTGTTATCAACACTGTTTTCACCAGCAATCCAAAATACAGCGCCATGCAAGCTATTGTGAAGAAAACTAATTGTGTCACAGCCTAAACCAAAACAGGAAGACTGCAGCCTGCCAAAGAGCAGAACATCCTAGGTTTGCTTCTTACTTTGCACTGAAAGATCTCTCATCTCCATGTCATCAAAAGTGTGCATCTCCTTCATAGTGGTGGAAAACACACACAGATGTCATTATCTGTACCAACAAATATTTTTACAATAATTAATTTAGATCTGACAGTAAAGAAAATGTTAAGAAATCACTTAGCTACTCCACTGCATAATACAGGCACACATTTGTAGAGTTCTCAATTAGAAAGTTTGCGTATCATTTGCTGCATATCAGTGGGATGCTGGAATTGTAGAATGATAGAATTATTTGAGTTAGAAGGGACTTTATAGACCACCTAGTTCCAACCCCCTGCCATGGGCAAGGCTACTTTCCACTAGATCAGGTTGCTCAAAAGATAATTATAAGTACCTGTTTTATTATAAGTATTCAAGTTTTACACACCTATAAAATATTACAGGATATTTATTAAGCAATTACTAGCAGCAATCTTGTCAAGTAGAGGAGTTATCTCAGTCATCAGAAGTAAAGTAATTCAAATAATGCCTTATTCACCGTGGATGAGCAACATGCGTCCTGGGCTCTCTGTTCTCTTAAAGCACAATTATATGTAATCAACCATGATTTCTTTTCTTTCCCTCAGTTATGAATCACCAGCACCAAATAACAGGCAGCACATCCATCTCACAGCAAAGCTGTCCTTCCCAGGCTCCGCAGCCAGGTCTGCTGAGCATGCCCAGTGCACTGACTGCGCAGCAGCAGCAGCAGCAGAAGTTGAGGCTCCAGCGAATCCAAATGGAGAGGGAACGAATTAGGATGCGCCAGGAGGAGCTAATGCGACAGGTAATGTTGAGGATACGCTTCTATCTTGCTCAAGAACTTTTCTTTTACCAGGTACAAATAGTAGCATTGTTGTTTTATGTCACGATTAACTATTGCTTTAGGTGGGGATAACAAAAAATGAATATAAATGGAGTTTTCGTGAAAAGACAGAGAACATTTCATTTTTTCACTGTAATGAGAATATTTGTATAAACAATTTATAATGATGTATTTGCATCATATTTGCATTTTTCACTTTTGCCTCCTTCCTCTAAGCGTACAAGAATTTAAAGAAATGATGTTTTACAAAATTAAGAAAAAATATTTACAATTCTTGCTGCTGTACAAAAAAAGCAAACAAACCATTAAAATGATGTCCTTTTACAAATTCTGAAGAAGCACTTACCTGTCTTTACATATGATTATTCCCATCATCTTTGGTGTAGGGGAACATTTTCATAGTTTAACATACGCCCTTGCTGAACTGTGGTGAAAGGCAGATACAGGTCTGCTAATGTCTCTGACATTTGTTACTGACTCTTATCATGAATTTGACTTTTATGGTTCAAGTTTGAGTGTGAAAACTGCAGATGCTGTCTTGTGTCCATGCTCAATTTCCATTACCTTTAATTTATGGGAATTACATTGTGCTACATCATCTGTGCATGTAGAATGACTGTGTTCAGTGTGGTGTTCTTTGGCTTGACTCATAATCTTAAGCCTTGCATGTACCTTCACCTTTACTGTCCAGAACTGAGGACATAATAGAGAACATAATAGAGATGGAAGAGAGTGGGCATATCTGGTGTGAGTTTCGTCATATTGTTATCATGCTAATAACATGTTCCTTTATTTTTACTTTCTTTGGCCCTGGTCTTGCTTCAGGACAACAGCAGATTAAGCATTGAAACAGTCAAGCCATTAAAACAGGGGCTGGTATCCCCGCGTGCTTACCGTGTGTTTTTCATTGAAACTGATAGATGCTCAGCAGTGCAGCCATGTGGTGCTTATTCAAGCCTTCAACTTTACGATGCTTATGGTCTTTCTTAGAACTACACATTATATAAAGCAGCACAGTATCATTTCGTATTACTAAAATTTTCAGAACTGATTTAGCTTTTAATGACATACTCACCACTTACAGAAAGCAAGATGTAAAATCTATCCTTTTCAACAGAATTTTGTGCCCATCCTGCAATCAGCCTGAGCAGGAGCTCAGAAGGATGTGGCAAATCCCTCCGGGGTCAGACTCTTCACTGTTGCTTTTGCTTTTTAAGTATAACCTACCTAAGGGAAAAACTGCATAAAGTATGCATGCTGCTGGTAGGTGGCTGCAAGGAGGTGCAGAGAGCTTGAACAAGACGGGAGGAATTCTTTCAGCAGATCACAAACCTGCTTTCCACCAGGCAGCAGCTGCTGGCTTCCCCGCAGCCATTCCTGGCTGCAGCTGCTGGGGTGGAGCAGCACTCCCAGTCTGGAGGAGCATGCAGTGCTGGAGGCATTCTGCTCAGGGAATCTGTTTACCGCGTTGGTTGGTACTGCCACCAGCACAGCAAATTGAGTCCTTGCAGGAAGTGCTGTGCATTTCAGAACACTAGTATGGCTCAGCTCCTATTTGTTTTCTTACTCAGTTTTGTCATTCCAAAAAGAGCTTTCTTTCTCACTGA